TGTGTGTGTGTGTGTGTGTGTGTGTGTGTGTGTGTGTGTGTGTGTGTGTGTGTGTGTGTGTGTGCTGAAGGTCAACAGACGATCATGCTAAGCTTGCTAACTGTTCCACCCTCTGACTGCTGCAGGGGCATGTCTTAGAGAGAGGCTTTTATACCAGAACACAGCCGCTGTGACGAAACCGTGGAGAAGACACGTCACCATGGAGAGCCGTTAACCAATATGCAAATTAGCCTGCAGTACCACTGCTCTACCCATATGAGCAGCAAAAAGATGTTTTTAGACAAATGTTACAGATTTGGACAAATACGCACAAAAACATCAACATTAGCACTGAAACAGTACTATATAACATTTTAGACACATTCTAGACAGTTTATCAGCTAAAAAAAGTTAATTTTGGGGTAAGTTACTCTTTAAACACTTACTCTTACGAGATATTTCATCTACGGTACAATATGTTATGTTGAGATTCTTTGATAAAACATTTTTATTTGAAGTGACAGATCATTCAAAATTCAGTGCAATAAAAGCCCTTGATGAGTAAGCACATTACTTGTCATTTATCTCTTTCTGTTGATCAAAAATACAACATATTAGGCCAGACTGCTAAATTTGAATGTTTTTGTTACTGGATTTTGCAATAATCTCTGCCTTTTTTCAAATCTCATTTTAGAATTTCACGTCGTTAAGTAATGACTGCATAAATTGAAAATGTCCAATTTGTGGTTTTTAGTTAACAGGTCGGTAAAGTACACATGAAACAGTTTTCATGCGTACTTTATGGGTTCATGGGTTTCAATAGCTCATATATATTATTATCAATTGGTTTCTACTCTGGCCTGGTCAGGGAGCAGATTGTTTTTTTCAATGACACACTGAACCAGAAACCTCTGCTGCACATCCTTTGCTGCAGCCTGCAGACTCCGTGCCAAGCGCTCTTCAAGTTAACTTAAGGGCACCCCCCCCCCCCACTTTACTCTTCACATATCATAACCTCTCCTTTTTTTCATAACCTCTACTTTTTTATCATAACCTCTCCTTTCTCAAATTACTTTTCAAAATAAAAACTCACGCCACATATTTTAACATGTCCGTTTCTCAGGTGACCAAATGTCCGGTTATGATTGTTTCTCACCGTAGAATTACTTTAACTGACATGCGGTTTGCAGAGATTACCACGGTACTTATAGAGTACAACTAGTACAACTATCAAGATTGTATGCCTGCAGGGTAAAATGCTTTTTTTTACTCTTTTGCTCCAAAAATAATGCGTAAAAATAATTTTTTAACTTAATCCAGGCTGTAACACTTATTGATATGTATTACTTTTATTAAATTAGTAGTATACATTGTTATGGCAATATTTATTTAACAAAGACAGAAATACGTGGTCCAAGAATGAAGGTACTCCGTGAGATGATCAGCTGAGTTTTATTGCAACAASAGGAAACACAGAGAACAACCTGGCCTGTCTCTGTGCCTCTGCTTCTCTCTGTCACTCCACTCCGCACTACTGTTGAACTGTTGTCTCGAGAGGCCT